CACACACACACACACAACCAGACAACAGCGCCGTTGCAACGCTCACCCGTTTGCCATTCATTTGCCAGAGCACGCTTTGGATAGCCACGCCTTACACGCCACATGGCCAAGAACACCGAGCGCTGAGTATGGATGAGTCGCTGCCACGTGTTGTCCTCTTCCGCTACACACACACACACATATCTACACCCAACGCAGGTCTCCACTATTCACAGTGACATCGACCACCGAGGGCGGGATATTGGCAAGCCCTCTGGAGAATGAAAAGGGCCCGGAGAAGGAGAAGGGCCCCGAGAAGCTCTCTCTCCTCCTCCCGGAGGTGGCTGCGCCGCTGCAGTCGCTCCTGCTCTGCCCTTCAGCATTTGCTGAGTCGTTCGCCACATCAGCCCCATCGTCTTCCTTCTCTTGTTTCGTTTCCTGATCGTCATCGTTGTCATCAAGGTGACTGCCAACGCCGTCGTCAGCGTCGGTCGCAAAAGGACTATGGAGACGATGATGGAGGAGGAAACGGCCGAGCACCATCACCGCAGTGATGCCGCTGCAGAGAAGGTGCAATCCGAGCACAATCCCAACGAGCCACGTGGCGCAGCCAGGCCAATTGCCCAAGATCAAACTACCAAGCAGCAGAGAAACAGCACCGATAACCAAAGTTAACGCGCGGGAGAGGAAGATAGAGAGATCCGAAGGCGGGCCCCGGAGTAACGAGCCGCGTCCTCGTCCTACTACGACTCCCTCTCCTCCTCCTCCTCCTCCTCCTCCTCCTCCTCCTCTTCTCCCTCCTTTCCGATCTTCATCCCCAAGCTTTCTACCCGACTCTTCGTCCATCGGCGCCGCCATAGCTGTAATTGAAGAAACAACGACGGGCAGCCACGTGGCAGGTGTGGACGACGAGGTCAGCGGGCTGCTACTGCCGCCTGTCAAGTCGTTCGTCTCCGCGCAAGACGACAAAAGCAGACAGAAACCTCTCACAAGCATCCAGAGGCCGGTCGCGAAGGACAGCGCCACCATTCCCATCTCCCATTGCCAGATCAGCATACTCCCGACAGCCACGTCGATGACAACACAGCACAAGTCGACGGTGAGCAGCCACGAGCTTCCGCCACGTGGGCGCGGCCTTCCCCGCTCCACCGCCGGCGCCGCCGCAGTTCCCCCCCCAACCCCACCCCCACCCCCCACTCCTCCTGTCCCTGCCGACCCTCCTTCCAGCATCAGCATATCACATTCGCTAGCAGAATGCGGATGCCCCTCGCCGCCGACCTCCTCCCCGCCTCCAGCGTCACTGCTGGTGCACCAACTCCCCCCACCATCGCAGAGCGAGAAATGCACTACGTATATTGACACTAACAGATAGGCGGCGGCCGCGAGGAAGCACCCTCCGACGAGCAGGACGAAGCCACGTGGGGACCACACAGGCGTCAACGCAAACGACGCTCCCAAGGCAATCTGTACCCAGCCGAGCAGGAAGAGTACCCTAGCTTGATTGACAGTAGCGACAGCTGCAACAGCTCCGCCCACGTGGGACCGCTCCCCTGCCTCTCGCGCCATTTTCAGCCCCTGGATCCAAGACCCATAACCGAACCACGGTAGAGCGAACACGCACGGAATCGTCAGCTCGCTAGTAGCAGACGATGACGATTCCATCGGGGGGTGATAATTGCGCAGTAACATCGACGTGGAGGTGTCAGAGAACGGCGACCGGGGACTCATTATTCCTCCTGGAGGTGTCTCGCTGCCGCCTTCATTGATCCGTCCCCCTTGTGATTCAGCCATCATCTTAGTAGTACTTGTAATGCCCCCCCCATCCATTCCCGGCTGGTATCCCGACATTCCGGGATGCCATCGATCGGACGCGCCTCGATCCCGATACCGACCCGGCGGACGTGTCAGGCGATGACACTGGGGATCGTCGTCGGGAAAGGAGTGGCGGCGCTGGGCATAGCGAAGCAGGCTCTTGAGAGATGCGACGACACCATGATTGTGAACGAGAGAAGGGTGGTGAACAGTCGAAGAGCTGACCTGCGGGGATCGGACCGCTAACGTACCAAGGTTGCCGGGATCGTCCAGAGAAAAAGACGGTCGGTATCCCGACTCGTACACGAGCGGCTCAGCGTCGCACGTCGCGGACTTGCCGCAGGCCCCCATCGGAACAACACCATTCTCATGAGGATTACCAGCGTTGTCCTGGTGCTGCTCCTGTTCCCGGTCCTGGTGCTGCTCCCGTTCCTGGTCCTGTCCATGGTCCTGGTGCAACAACGGGTTCGTCTGATGCCCCAGAGCCACATCTTCATTCCCGCCACCGTTCTCGACCTGCGCCTTCCTCAAGCCTGTGCCCATGTCCGTGTCTTCCACTGCAACTCCACCCGACCAGCTTCTGCTCTGCATCGCCTTCCATCGTATTTTCTCCTCCTCCTCCTCCTCCTCCTCCTCCTCATTCTGCTTCTCCTCCTCCTGCTGCTGGTTTCCACCGACTCCGATGAGAGGTCGAGATCGTCTTTCGGCGCGAACATCGTCGTTAACAATAGCGATGACATCTGATACAGCGCCAGCATTTCGGACATTGACAAGAAGCTCATCATCATGCTGAGAGAACGACGAGCCCTGCAAAGCGCGATTTCGAAACCGACCCTCATCATCGTCGCTGCTGCTGGCAAATTGCAATCCAACCTCCGATCCTTCTTCGCCAGCACTCCTCTTCGTTGGACCGCCATGCGCACGACTATCTCGATCTCCATCATATGGGGAAAAGCACAACCGAGCGGCGCGGCTGCTGCCGCCGCCGCCGCCGCCGCCATCGCCGCAAGATGATTGAGACACTGTGTCATCATCCTCCCACTGACCGCCCGATGCACCAAACGACGACAAACGGAGACGACGACAAACGTTCGATCCTCGCTGAGCTGTCGCACACACTTCGCCGGTGATTTCACTTGCACGTCCGCCGCGGCTGCTGTCGCACACAGCGGCGCAGATCTGACATGATGATCCCGTCTTGCTCGATCCTCCATAGACTGCTGCGGTGCCCTTCCACGATGGCCCACCACCATCGGCATTGCCGGGATCCCGATTGCCGCCATCATTAGAACACCCCTCAACGTTGCTGATACTGGTGCCGCCGCTGTCGCTACAGCTGGAGATTGACAAATCATCAGCCGCCGATGGAGCGTTGACTTCGACGTTGACTTTGTTGACTGTGCTATCAGCAAGCGAGCACTCTGGGTTTGTCAGACAGACGACCTCTGAGGGCCTGCTTGCTATTTCCACGCCATGATGGACCGTCAGACTTCGCAGAGGAAGTCGTACGACATCATCTGAGCTTTGCATGTCATCGACAGAACGCTCGACTTGCTTACCTTCTCCTCTCCGCGGCACGCTCTCTCTCTCTCCGGCCAACGCTCCTGCTGGTAGGATGAGTCCGATACGCTGATGCAGGCGAGGGCCAGATGGGGCACAGAAGACAGGCGCCATAGCCAGCTGCTTGGCCGGCTCAGCTGAACTCCCAGCTGATGACGACAACCGCCGCTGCATCTCCGACAGCGCTGAAGAAGAAGATGGCAGTTGCGCTGGCACCTGTCTCTTATACACATCTAGATGTGTATAAGAGACAGGTTTTGCACATTTCGAGAGTGGTGGAGCGAGGCCCGTAGATTCATCAAAAGTGTACACTTCCGGAACTACTGTGTTCTTAGCCGCGGATGCCTTTNCCGGCTCAGCTGAACTCCCAGCTGATGACGACAACCGCCGCTGCATCTCCGACAGCGCTGAAGAAGAAGATGGCAGTTGCGCTGGCACCTGTCTCAGCGGCGACGGCGAGGATTTGTCACGTGGAGGGGGAGGGGGGGGGGGGGGGGGCGCTCCCTCCCCCCCCCCTTGCCAAGGACAGCAAAGACCGCTGTCGAGATCCAGCGAGGCTACCGTTGATAATCTGGTCGGCTTCTTTCTGTTCAACGAGACCGCAACGGCAGTAGAAACACCATAAGGAGAAGGAGAAGGAGAAGATAGGGACGGCGCGGATGATCTCCAGACAGATCGATGACTCGGCCGAGAGGGCATTGACGCTGAAGATGACACGTGGCCGATTCTATCGAACTTGAGTTCACTGCCACCACCGTCATGACCATCGTCGCGATGACCGCCTTCGACATCGAGAACCTCGTTGAACCTCAGCGATGGCTGCAATGAACGGCCCATCGCTGGCGGGGGACGATTCCTCTCCAGATCCCGATCCCGATCCGACACAAATGTACAACCCGATTACGATCCCAATACAGATCACCGACCGGGACTGATTCCCCCCCTGACGAATCGACGGCCAAAACCCACTGTCACACGCCGAGCGTCCAACTCTCTCTCTCTCTCTCTCTCTCTCTCTCTCTCTCTCTCTCCACACGCACTCACACGCACACACACACACACACACACACACACACACACACACACACACATACAAACACGACCTAGAGACGAAATCAATCTCCCTTCTTCTCTCTCCGGAGTCTCCACGTCTATCTGTCAGCCTATGTATCAGCTTGGGTGGGTAATCGAGCGTCTATACGGTTCTGAGTTCTTATTCATCAAATGAAAAGCAACTGTAGATAACGGGAATCGAGCTCATATCTCATGCTTGGAAGGCAGACATGATCACTATCTCCGGCAACCTAAGCTGATCTCAATCGAACGGCTGTCGTTCATCCAGCCATGCCAGACAATCATGTCACATTGCCATGTCACACTGCCATGTCACACAGCACTACGACAGCGACACTGTGGGTATGGTGGGGACGAACACAAGACTATCCCTGCTGCATCTAGACATCTACAAGCGGAGTCGTACATTCGCACGGCTGTCGTTCATTATCCAGCCATGTCTCGCAGCCATGTCACCCACCCATGTCACACAATCGTGTCACACAGCCATTTCACGCAGCCATTGCGGCAGCGAAACTGTGGGTGAGGCGGACGAACACCAGACTACCCCCCCTGCTGCCTCTTCATGTCTAGACGCAGACAGCCCTGTGACAATTGTTCCTGTCTGTGCAAAAACGGACTAAGGATTATCAATGCCACCAAACAAACTAAACCCCTGTGTGACACTTCCTGTCCCCGAAAATACGGACTCTCTTTGGCATCACCAATTTTGTATGTTATTATGTTATTATTAATCAATTAATTAAACCTTCGACGGCCCATTAATTGCAAAATCAGAAGTGAGAAAAAAATATATATATATATAAAATATAATCAATCCCCACCGGTGCACGAGTCTACCTCGTACTGCGTGCAATTACAAATCAGAGATCATGATAAAAACTAATTCAAATTTCAAAATAATAAATCTGGAAAATTACTGTAAATTAAATATGAATATTATGAATTGGCCAAAATGTTTGCGGTTTCGATGAAGCTTTTAAATTTTCAAATACAAACAATTAAAAAAAAATAAAAAAAATGATCACAAGTACATTTTCATTCACATGTCCATTGAGCTTTATACTTCGTCGTTCGACGAAATTTGCTATAATTGCAAATCAAGCCGCGTATAATTACCTTTCCTCACAAATCTTTAGGGCTCTCTTTCTCTTAATTAATCAATGGCTACAAATCCTTAAGAGCTCTCTTTTTCTTACAATCAAATGCTATATATCTACATATACCTTGCCTCATAAGATCTATAGGGAAAAAATACATCTTAAATTTTCTATCTGCGAGCTCCTGACGCATTGATTTCCTTCTGAGTCAAAATCTTATTAATCAATGTCCCAATAGGTCGTGGTCAACCGGAGAAAAAAAAGGTCCCTAATCAACGAGAATTTACTACTGGAGATAGACAAACAGGTAAAGGCTCCTATAGCTATACAAACTCGTTGATAAATGGAAGACAGGCAGTAGTACTAATCATCATCATCATCATCATCATCATCATCATCATAGGGTGAAGCAGCGGCCTACAAACCTCAGCAACCCACGATGAGGCTATTGATGAATAATCGATCGATGGATCGAATCCAATATCATTCCTAGCTGTATGAACGTGAAGATGGGTGGATGGATGGATGAATGATAGGCAATAGTGCTAATCATCATCATCATCATCATAGGGTGAAGCAGCGGCCTACAAACCCCAGCAAACCACGACGAGTCGATCGATGATTAAAACATCAAAAATGGTTCCAATCCATCATCAATCATAGTTGTATGGACGTGAAGACGGGACCATAGCAACCCACGACGAGTCTATCGATGAATGATTAATCGATCAACCAATCGTTCGCGTCCATCATCAATCATAGCTGCTCTGTGAACGTGAAGTCGGATGGATGGATGAAAGGCAGTACTACTAAGCATATCATCATCATAGGGCGAGCTATCATCATACAGAGCGAAGCAGCGGCCTACTACGATCCACGGCTATCCTAAACAAATATATCAATCAATCAATCAATCAATCAGTCAATCAATCAATCAATCGGTCCATCATAGCTGTATAAACGTGAAGGCAGATGGATGATAGGGGCACAGTACTAAGCGCATCATGATAGGCTGAAGCGGCGACCGGTCCTACTAATCACAGCAACAACCTGTAATAAACCACGATCTAATATTCTACCGATCATTGGTTCGTATCCACCCTCGCCCTTGGCAAGCAGCGGGGCCTTACTAATCACAGCAACAACCTGTGGTTTGTTTATAACCGAGATCCAATCTACCGATCAATGATTCGAATCCTCTAAGCTTAAGAAGCTGCTGTTCTGATCGTGCCAATCTATTACACATCTGTGCATAAGTCCGAGCCTTACTGATTCTGAACTCTCTCTCTCTCTCTATATATATATATATATTGTCACATTGTGAATCAGAGCGCACAAAAGGGGAAAGAAAAAAGGAAAAGGAAAAAAGGGGAAGGGGAAGAGGTAAGGAAAGCTCCACCTGTTCATAACCTCTTACGCACAAGGCCAGCCACGTGGATATATATCTGTCTATCTATCTATCTATCTATCTATCTATCGGTGGTTCCAATGCAACTTAAGCTTTAAGGAGCTGCTGTTCTGATCGTGCCAATCTACTACACATCTGTGCATAAGGCCGAGCCTTACTGATTGTGAATTCTCTCTCTCTCTCTCTCTCTCTCTCTATCTATCTATCTATCTATCTATCTATCTATCTATCTATCTATCTATCTATCTCTGTCTGAGGGAACTCAGGGGTAAATAATCATGGCCGTAGGTTATAATACCTTACTAAAGGCGTCATTCTGGAGGGGGGGGGGGGAAACAAAGAGAGAACTCACCCCGCACCTCGGATTCTGGGACTTCCACCCCCTTTCTCTTCTATCCCTTCCGATCTCTCTTTCACCACCTGCTTCTCCTCTTTGTCCTCCAAAACCAGAGGGAAAAGTGGAAAAAAAAAAAAAAATTCTAAATTGTCTTGCTTTCGTCAATATCTCTGTCACCACCTCGTCCTCCTCTTTGTCCTCCAGAACCAGAGGGAATTTAAAGTGCAAAATAAAAATAAAAAAAATCTAAATGGTCAATCGCCCTCCCGACCACGACGAAAACGCCTTTCCAGACTGCAATCTCTTTGCTCTCCCTTCCTTCCAAAACCCCTTCCTGTTTTTTCCCTTTCACCACCTGCTCCTCTTTTGTCCAGCAATTTAGGAGGAGGGGAGGGGGGGGAAGGGGAACTAGATTTTCAGTAGCTGTCCGGACGGCATCTCTATTTTTTTCTTCAGTAAATCTAAATTGACTATGACCGTCGGGATCTCTATTTTCTTCTTCAATACATGGCCTGGGCTCCCCCTTTCACTGCCTCCGCCCTCTCCCCTCCTCCTCCTCCTCCTCCTACTACTACTACTACTACTACTACTATACTTCTGGTCACCCTGCTCGTACTCTTCTTCAACTGGATAGCAAAATCGTTAAAATCCCAGACTATATGTACTACCAAACAATTCCTTCTTCAATCAAAGTTTATTCCCGGTCCAAGCATTACTTCCTTAACTGTTCACGTTCGAATCCCTCCTCCTCTCCTCCTCTCCTCCTTTCCTCCTCCTCGCCTCCCTTCCTCCTCTTCTCCTCTCTTCCGTCTGCCCCTCTATCCTTTCAATTGATTAACAAACGCATCGAGTTTCCACACGACCGTTGAGACAATCAATATGTCTACTCTCTCAGAAGGAGTATTCTCCCTCACACTACGGCTTCCTTCTTAACATCCCTTCGGTCAGATTGCATCTCCCC